AGAGGGGATAGTATCGCCCGTTGTAATGTGCCTTTATTGGGCATAGGAAATTGATCTGAACGTGTATTGCCTAGACCTATTGTAGCAGCGCGAGAGGTTAGGGAAAGAGCGTACGTAGTCATATATCTTTTGCCCACAACTGATGTCATTTAGCACAGATAAGATCAGCTCATGGGACATAGTGTTAAAGGCGCTTTTCAAATGAAGAGCTACGAAGAGATGTTCTGCCCCAATCGTGGTATTGCAGAGTACCTCTTCCCGAAGTAGAAGGAAGACGTCCTGCGCTGACATATGTTGTTGAAATCCGAACATGCTAGTTGGAAAAAGGTTCCTGTATTCAACGTATGTCGTGAGGCGTGCGTGAATCGCTTTTTCGAATAATCGGCTAAGAGAGGCTGTTAATGATATTGATTTTAGATTTTGTAGGTCGTGTGTTTTTCCTGGCTTCTGAATGAGAATAATTCTGGCTTCCTTCCAATGTTGAGGAACCACGCCCTTCTCCCATACCTGTTCATTAAAATACCGAGTAAGCTGTCCCAGGTGTTCGTCGCTCAGATTCTAAATCATCGCGTTTGTTAGCTGGTCAAGTCCAGGGGCAGTATTGCGCTTTGCAGCTGGCGCGGCCGCAAATAGTTCTGCTTTGGTGATCGGTGCGTCGAGTATTGCGTTTTTCTGGCCTTGGTATGCTAAAGTGCACGGGGGAGTGGTGACCGCGCCTATGTACTTCTCTCAGACCCTAGTGAGGAGGATGTCATCTGTTCCTGGAAATTCCCCTGCGAGCTTCTTAGGAGTTCGTTTTGCGGAAGTTTTGGTAATACCAGGTTCCATTATGCGGCGCAGTATTGCCAATGTCTTGGAAATGTGGAAGTTTTCTCGGATCGAGTCGCAAAAGTTCGCCCAACTTGCCGTTTCCAACTGCCGCGCGGAAGCGTTTGCCCACCCAGATATCTCAGCAGTTCTATGGCGCAATTTTCTATTGAGTGTCGGTTGTTTCCATCATTTGATCAACCCTCTCCTAGATTCCCTCATATGTATCAGATGGCTATCGACTACCGGGGTTTTCGCTGTGAGCGCAACCCTCTTGGATGTTGCTTTGTGAGCCTCTCGTATGTGCGTTGCCCAATCTTCAGCGCTATCCGGTAAAATTTCGCGCAGTGGGATTTCACGATAAGTTATCCAATCTGTTAATACAACTTGGCCATGAGATTGCCGAATTTTAAGGAGGCTATCGACACGCTCAAGATATAATGGTCACTGCAGAGATACTCTTCTAGGTTGCTCCAGAACACCTTGTGAACATCAGTTATGAATGAAAGATCAGCAAGTGTGTCTGTGCTGACGCTGTTATCCAATCTTTCCGGGTGTTGAGGGAGCACGAAAAGTTGGAGCCCATGCGCATCAACAACTCGCTCGAGTGCCCGGCTTTTCGGGGTATCTGTTTGGTACCCCCAGGTAGTGTGAGGGGCATTGAAGTCCCCTAAAAGCAGTAGTCGATCCTGGATGCTGGAATTACTCTTGGCATACCGAATGAGTGCGTCAAAATCGGCCCTTTTTTCTTTAGGGGAGCTATACACGTTCGTGATTATGGTTTTGGCTTTGCTACGCTTGTGTGGTAGTATACTTATGATTCGGTGGTCAATGCTACTAGTTACCAGATAATCAATACTTGTCGCTATTTCCTTAAGAACCAACGTGGTGACTTCAGCGTAGTCTGGATTTGATATCGTGTATTAACCACTCAATTACACTGGCTTATTACTAGCCTCTTGTAGACAAAGGACATCAGGTTTGACTGGCGCCGTATCAAGAAATTGTTGTAGAGTGGCGGCCCGTTTGTGGAAGGTGCTGCAATTCCACTGCCAAATTTCGAGATATTTGGTGTGCGCTCGTGTTTTACTCGCCGTGGATAGTGCTATCGCTGTCCGAGGTTGAGAGTTTTTTTCGTACAACGGGTAGACAGAGCACCTGGGCTGCTTTTAGGTCGTTTAAGAACAGTGGCCCTTATGATGGCGATAGATTCATCGACATACCGCTTTAGGTTCTGGAATTCCGCAAACAACTGCTGCTGAAAGCTTTGCTTGCTTTGCAGTTGCTGCGTTACTTGTTGTAACGTACCTTCCATTAAATTTGACTCGATCGTGACCTGGACAGATGTGCCGGTTGCTTTAGAAAGTGTTTTTTGGCTCGATTACGTACCGCGGTTAGCTTTGAGGGAGGCCAACTCTCGTTTCATTTCTGCCAAGCTCTTACGGAGTATTTTGTTCGCACTAATTATTTTTTTGTATATTCCGGATTAGCCGTTATAGGAGCACCGGGAGAAGAAACTCGTGCATAGCTCACCTTGCCATGTTCAGGTGCTTGCTTGATCGCAGAGCATGGAGCCCCGGATTTAGGTGACTTGTGTGAGTGGAAATAATGTAAGGTCTTGTGAGTAGAGTCGTTCCGGATCCGAGATCTGGATCTAGATCTGTATCTAGAGCTAAACCTTGGAAGAGTCTCTGGCAACTCCAGTCAGAGGTCCAGTGCAGATTGTTCATCATCAGAACTTAACCAGCGGGGGTGTTGAGGTGGCTTCAGTGAGGTGTCGTTCAGAGTAGGCTGGTGCACGCTAGCCCTTGAGGTTCTTTTCTGCGGAGGTTTGAGTCGTTTTCTGTAACTTCGGTCACCTGTCAAATGACCCTTGCCACAAGCTGCACACTTCAGAGAGCACTCGTGTCCGGCTGCAGGGTCCCGTTGTCCACAAACGTGACACACTTGAATGTCCGGCTGGGGGCAGACGTCCGAACGATGACCAACCTGATGGCACACTCTGCACAACTGGGTGGTAACCTTGTAGCGGTAGCAAGCAAGTTCTCCGCCATTGTAATAAATGTACCTAGGTGTAATCTCTCCAAAAAATCTTATAACGGTCATCTTGGTGTTTTCAAACATAAGTGCTTGCAGAATTTTGACCCCTTGTGCGCGTAGGCGGAGATTAGCGTTTAGCGCTTCAGGCATCGTGAGGGGGCCTAAGCAGTGAATGATGCCCTTAGTTATCCCTTCACTTGTCGCTACGTAGGCATTGACTGAGTGTGGCTGACCGTTGATCTTTAGGGTGGTAATTAGCCTCACGTGGTCCGCCACTGTATGGTGCGACGTCGAAAAACGAAGATGTTAGAAGCTCGCTTGATGCTGAGCAAAAATTTTTGTAGCGGTCAAACATCTGAGATATTTGACCGCTGCAAGCTGCTATCGCGGCTTATGCCAGAAGTGGACTAGTCAGGTTCTTGACTGGTAGCCCTTCGTGTGGCCGCACCCTCTTCTTAAAATCGTCTTTCGGCGAGGGGGGTAGCCACCTGTAGGCAGGCCTGTATTTAGATTTTCCGGTTGCTTCAGCAGTGTATATTTGTTGGTGGTACGAAGGCGTTGAAAAATTCATGGACTTGGCCTTTTTTGCTTTCGAAAGAGCTTTCTTCTGCCGCAGAGTGAGCACTGTTTGCCAGGCTCCATCCACTTGGTTTTGGCTGTCGGTCTCGGCGTTCTGATCACTCCGTTCATTTGGCGTTGAGAGGCTGTGAGCTGTAGAGTCTTGAAAATCCATTTTATCAAGGTCTTGGCGTCACGTGCCCATCATCCGCGAGGATCCGGGATGCGCCGTAGCATATGAGAATTCATTCGCGAGAGCCATCGAGCACGCGCGCAACGCGCATGGTAGCGTTCCTGCAGCCGCCTACATGGCGGCTCGCACAATAGGCAGGTGCGTTTGGGCTTCTAACATAAAAAGTTCCGGTCACCTACAGCTGTGGTTGGTGTCAGTCGATGCGCAATAACTTCAGGAAGCCATGACAATAGTCGAAGTTAGCCACACAAACAAATTTCTATAATGGAGCCGGAAAATTAGCTCCTTTTTCGGGGCTGTGCCACGGGAATACAAAGGCTGAGTTGGCAGCGTCGACAGTGAGTTTCGGAGATGTTACGCCCATTAAGGGGATAATGGCAGCGCTGCAAAAGCCACCGGTGCACTGCAGTGGCGGTATTCATTCATTCACAAAACCTAATTATTATCCTGAATCCCGGTATTTTCAGACCAAGGCGGGCCGCGTCCACACCGGTACCGTCAGGCCAAGCCTTATGGCGCCTTAGAAGTGTGGCAGCTTGGGCTAGTTGGTATGGCATGACAATAGTTATAGCGCGAGAACAGAACGATGACACAGAGACAAGAAGGACACGAAAGATTTTTCGTGTCCTTCTTGTCTCTGTGTCGTCGTTTTATTCTCGTGCTATAACTATCGTCATCCTTATGGCGCCATCGTGAACCTTCTGGACTGCCCGTAGCTGATCTTGATAAGACGAGCTTTGCACCCCCTTCTGCCAGTAAAGTCAATGTTCTTCGGGGTCGGTGAGAGTCGCGGGACAGCCGGCCAGCATGTGTCTGATTTCAATGATGTCATTGCACACGTCACTCGTATTGAAATGTACTGTCAGGGAGAATTTCATTTAGAATATACGGAGTGGGGTAACTTCCAGTTTGCAGCAAACGTAGCATGACTGCCTGAGCCCTGTTCAACTTTACGTGTGGCAGTGAGAATCGCCTACGCCCCATGTAATTACATTTTGTGATGTCGTTGTATGTGATTAACTGATATTTATGATACCCGAAATGGTAGTGGCCGTTGGGTCGGGTCTGACCGGCATGGCGGAGCTTGATAATTGGCTTGCACACTAGCTTTTTCGCAGTGAACGGTTAGCATCGGTTGAAAAACAGATGAGACACTTTGTTACCTGAGGATAGCATACACCAACCTTTACGTGAATGAAAACTCAATTACCAGCATGGAGGAACGAAAAAGTAAGGACGGAGCATTGCGTAATTTGTGAGAAATTTCACAAATGGCATCTACACAATCACTGCAAACAAGTCGTACTCATCGACCACTCAGACAAGTTTCAAGCAAGCAAGAAACAAGTATGCAAATGGAACGCTGAATACTTGCCTGAATCGAATGTCGTTTCAATTGCAGGCTATGCGGCATCACCTAGGACATAACTCCGAGGAGAACAAGATCGTTCTCGGCTTGGGTTACTACTACTACGACCACCCAGAGGCCTGGAGTCAACTTTCAAGGACCGGCTTGTCACTCTCGGCGTGAGTGTCGATCACGAGATGTTGCATAGATTAAGCACAGACTTTGTTTCTATAGGGTAACCCCGCATTGAAATGCGAACGCGTAACTTAGAGGTGCACTAACTAATAATAAACAGACAAGCGCCTATAGTACGATTTGAAAGCTTAATCGGAAAGCTGAGACAAGTATATACTGACAGATAAAAGCTTCGTAAGCACATACGAGTTGGTAGCACACGCTTGACCATGCCTTAGTCCTTGTCTACGTTGTGCTCGTAGTTCAAGTAATCATGAATCACAAACTCACTCAATCGACCATTTTGACAGATAGTGGTTAAGCGTTAACTAGAACATTCGATATCGATAGCAACATTACTTTAACCTTCCTCTTCGTTTATACACTCCTGGTGACTGGATACGCCATCTTATCGCAACTAATCCTTTTACGTCCACACTTTATAAACGGCAAGCAGCAGGTATAAAATGACAGTGTGCAAACCCATACATGCATGCGTAAAGAGGTCCACACACTTATCTAGAATACTCAAGCGCTAGTTATCTCAGAGTTTTTGTTATCGTTATACGCGACACCAACGCTTGCTAGAACGTAACCTTCGTTCTACCAAGGGGCACTGACATCTTTACGAGGTATTTCAAGTCATCACCGCAGGTAATTGCGGCTGTTACGACTTTCGTACCCTTTGTGACGCTTATATAATCGCCAACTGACCCACCACAACAGTTTTTTTTTATCTGCAGTGGCCTAGTCATAAATGCGTATAGTTCTGAGAAAGTTCCGGAGGCCCGGGGTGCATGCAGCAGAAGAAATCAAGGAGCACACTTAAAGAAATCACGTTGTTATTTGGCACTAATTGACGCTTCCGTCGTGGCACGAAATTCATCAGGTAAACCCTTTATTCTGATAAAGGCCTAGACACAGCCAAAAAGTGACGGACACACGCAAACCCCCGCCAGTTCTGAAAATGGGGACAACAAAACAAGTGCAGCATGAAGATCTGCTTTCTTAAATGGCGATTAGCTTAAGGCATTTCAACGAAAGCAGTCTTAGAATGAAAACTTGTTCCCTTTAATGGCATCCACGATTAGCCCTGGCAACTCAATAAAAAGAGTGTCGGCATGAAGACCTGCTCTCCTCGTTGGCCTCCGTGATGAGCTCCGGCTACGCGAGAAAAACAGCCTCATCTTGTGAAGCTGCTTTCTAGATGCCCTTCGAGGCTGGCTCCGGACGCGACGAAAACGGTCTGGGCAGGATGACGCCCGTTTTTTCAATTGACAAGACTCTGAAAATAGTTGGTACACAAAACGTAGCATTCACAAACAGATATTCTGGTTTCATCTGAATAACTTATACGTTTATTTTGAGTGCCTAGCCATATATGTGTTGTAACTCGCACTTAGTTACGAGCTGTAACAATCTGCAGTTTATTGTGTTTTTTTATGTTTGAGCTTCCAATAAGTGTATGTACTCCTAAAACTGCGTCTTCAAAGTGCAAACGTTTTCCTCAGGAAAGACGTCGACGTGCTCGTAGTGATCAGCACAGTTGTGTCAATCCCCTCCCAGAGCTGGTGCATGACGTTGCCCTCGAACGCCCTCATGAGTGAAGATAGACACGCTCCAAATATGGTAAGTTTGCATCGAAATTTTATTTCGATCATGAAATTTGGCAGTGCCCACGGATGCGTGGACTGTGATAGTGCTCCTTGCGACATCGCCACGTAAATGGGCATCAATTAGGTAAAGAAATAAGAAAAACTTCTCTAAAATTTGCTGATACCAGCAGATTACTCCTTTCCGACTCCTCAGTCGCCTTCGTTGCCACAAGACGACTCCTGACAAGTGAAAAAACGCATGTGAAAAAGATGGCGACGGCGACGCTGCCTTAATATTGTCGCACCAGTCACCATGACGTCATGAGTTTTGATGGCGTCTACCAGTGCTTACTTCGGTCCTAATCAAGTACGAAGCAAGTTTTCCTTTCTGATAGGATAAGAGTCTCAGTACACCAATGTCAGAAAGGTCTGTTGAACCGGTATGGCCAAAATAGGAGAAAAGCTTTTCGACACACATGCCACTTCTGGAGATATTTTTGCAATGTTTAAAACTGAAACATGGAGCTTGAGGCTCCCTCCGACTAATAATAAAGAGATATGATCTATAAATAAAATATTGTCAGATTATATTTTGCAGTCTAAGCTGATTCTTCGTCAGTTTTAGTCGTTTAAGTACAGTGTCCCTTCAAACTGAATGTAGTAAAATTCAGTTAGATACTGCGTAATGGGCTAATGGTTTTTCTGGATTCGCGAGCAACACAAGGAGGCTATTGATAGAGTACGGGATGGAGGGAGGCTAAATGATTAAAATCATTAGGTGCCATTTCGGCGTTAATAAATCTCTGTCCCAATAAAAACTGCAAGTGTTACCGAAATACGGCACACAACCTCACTCCTTACAGTGACTCGTGACATGTGAAGATTTTTAGTGTGCTAGAGCACCTTCTATCTCGCTCACGCGGAAAGAATTTTTTTTCGGTGGTAGGATTGATAGTAACGGATGAGAAATATACGGCACTGCACGTGTGCTTTTTGTTCTGTCTTTTATTATTTTTTTTCTCTTTCACCCTCTTTATATACGCTGACGTTTGCAATCAATGTTTAGTTAAAGTTAAGCGCTTGTGTTGTGTGTTCCGTGCACGCTGCTGGGCTTCCTACAAATATGTTTCACATGACACGCATATCATGATAATCATGTTTGGACGAGTCATTTACCTTCATCGTCCATCGACGTCATCTAATACAAAATTTAGCTCATCATGAGCATCGTGTGCAGTCAAGTTACATGTCACGCATGTCATGATTATCATGTTTGGACGTGTCTTTTACCTTCATCGCCTATTCACGTTAAGTGATACCAAATTTGGTATATGTGGGGCTAGTTAAACGGCCACGAGCACGCTACGAGTGTCGCGTGTAGTCGTGTTTTACATGACACGCATCTTCCGATTGTCATGTTTGGAGGTGTCATTTACCTTCGTCGTTCATTCACGCCCCGTAATACAAAACTTAGCATATGTGAAGCTAGCGTACGGCTGCGAGTGCATCATGAGCGCGGTGTGTCGTCATGTTATTACACATTCCATGGATAGGCCGTCTCACAGCATAGCATAACAGGCCTGTGTACTCTGTGATGTCATGCATATCATGATTATCATCTTTGCACCAGTCACGGCATAGCAAAACAGGCCTCTATATTCTGTGATGTCACGCATATCATAATTATCATCTTTGCACCAGTCATATCCTTCCACCATTTATTCACGTCCTCTAATACCCAATTTGGCATAAGCGAAGCTAGGGAAATGAACGCGAGTGCACCATGAGCGTGGCGCGTATTCACGACCCACGTGACTTGCATGTCTTGATTTCAACGTTAGGGTCTATCACCTATCTTCGTCATGCAGTCATGTCATACCATACCGGTTTTTCAGTATGTAATGTGAACGAATCCACTGCTACAGCAGCAAGATTAGGAAATGTAAATCATGAAAATTCATGAAATGCATGTCATGATTTCGTGTTATGACTAGTCAGTTATGCTCGTCATTCGGTCATGTTATGGCACACCAATTTTGTTGTGATACCATTGTCGAAACGGCCAGGAGAGCTGAAAGTCGTAGGCGGCTATAGATAGATAGATAGATAGATAGATAGATAGATAGATAGATAGATAGATAGATAGATAGATAGATAGATAGATAGATAGATAGATAGATAATAGATAGATAGATAATAGATAGATAGATAGATAGATAATAGATAGATAGATAGATAGATAGATAGATAGATAGATAGATAGATAAACGTTCAATGTCGCCGAAATTCGCTAAGAAATGCTTCGCATTTCAGAAAACAAAACGCTTACTGAGGTGCACGTAATATGTACGTTTATACAATGAAACTTCAAGTGCGCGTTCTTGCTGTGGGACTGTCCAATGAACAGGCCGACTGTCCCATGGATAGCAAAACAGGTCCGTGTACTCTGCGATGTCACTGCTCGTTAAACCACAACATATGGTCAAAATTTTTGTTGTCCTCTATATGGCGCCCCTCACAGTCCTATCGCCGTTTTGGGACGTTTAACCCGATATTTCAACAAAATTAACCGAGTGAGGTAAAACAAGCATGAAAATGAGGAGTACTTTCATAAGCACCGTGCAGTAGAGTTTTCCTGTGTCACTGCAGTGCCAGAGAGCACAACGTCGCGAATAAAAGAAAATCGTCGCTTCTACATGAAGTGAATCTTTACGACTGGGTTGGGAGAAGCCCGCGGTATCATATCGTTCAGTAATCATACGTTACCTGAGCGTTAGCCCATATATATATATATATATATATATATATATATATATATATATATATATATATATATATATATATATATATATATATATATATATATATACGAAGAACCTGAATCAGTTGAAAGTGAGTGTGTTTGAAAATGTCTCTAACAATTTCGAGTGCTTCGTACTCAACTCTGGGAGAGCATGAAGCCGTCCCGTAGGCCTTCTGTGTGTTTACAAAAAGTCGTTATTGATTTAGAGTACTTGGTGCTCTAATATGGGAGAACATTAAGCATCAAGAGCCCGCATGTATAACCGTGACAAAATTCCATTGCAGTATAGATACTTTGTCGAGGCATATAGGGCTCGACGTGTGCAATTGTGTTGCAGGTTTTCTTGAGAAACCTATACATCTACGCAGATTATAGAAAGAATCAACTGAACAAAACACTTCTCGCTAGGTTATCTCATGACGGGAACAAAGATTCTTTATTTTAAGATTTGCCTATGTCTACGCCGATGTCTATCGTAAAACTTTTTTTTGTGCGTGTGTCTCTCATATGCTTCTACTATAGCAATAGTTGCACGCCGCAATCACGACGGAAGACAGGGCTAAGTCCTAAGAAGCTTCGCCCCCATACAAAAAATTGAGTGCACTATGATGGGGCCGATCAAAATGTTATGCCATGCGTGAGCCTCCCCTCCTCTCTTCCTCTCGCATGAGTGTGGCCGGATTAGAGGGTGGTGAAGGCATGAGTAGACCTATGTTGGTGCCTCCCAACGGCGGCCACTGTCAGAAAACTTGGGAAAGGCCACTGCGAGAAATGCATCTCTCTCTGGGCAGTGGACGGTGCCTGTCTGTCACAGAAAATCTGGACACAGCCGCAAAACTAGATCCATTAGCGGCAGATTACACGTGATTAAGATCTGTAGTATTCGTTTCATTATCAATGATAGTTTCCGTTAACATAGCGTGTTACAGCTGACTGTGCATGTTCAAATTGTGCATAATTTAGTAATAGAGCAGCCTTCTCACTCCAGACGAAAAGTCACGCGCAGGGCGGGAAAGCCTACATGTCTGACTCAGTCTTGCGCTCAAAAAAAGCTGCGAGGAGCAAAAAAAAAAAAGGAGATAAATGTGTCATTATTTGAATTCTCTCTGTGGCATGCAAGCATTGCAAAGCTTGTGTGAGTGCTGTAAGACATTATCCAGTAAATTAACAGTGCTGTCCTACGACTGATTCCAGGAGGGTGCATCCATTATGGCAAGGGACACGTTTGGGAAGAGCAGTGTGATCGTCGCCTTTGGCTTGCAAATGGGCGTGATCACATACACAATGACTGACACTCACGACCGTGCCAACGACGCCCTGTACAAGAACTGCACCGGCTTCGGCATCACCGATTACTCACAGGCGAGTGGCACCAGGGACGCTTAGCTTGCCCGGAGTGTTTCGACTAGCTGAGATTGCCGAAATACTGAAGCCGTTGGTGGCAGTAGGAGAGCAGGTGCGGGCCTCTTGTGACAGCCTCTTACCGGAAGCACGTGCGGAATCGTTGTTATGTGATCGCATCAGTTTTTCTCGTGCAACGTAAAAAGCCAAATTATTGCGGTTTAGCGATAGGGTCACTCACACTATTTGACGCCGGGAGTACACACGCCACGGCAGTATTAGCTTTTTTTTTTACAGCTGCTGAGGTCTCTGCCATACCAGAGGTAACTTCCAGCACGACCACGTAAAGTATTTCACCGGTAACCTCCTATGCGCAAATGGTGACAACATAGATCAAAGTGGTACTCTTTGTTTTCCCTGAATCATGAATCATGTCAATCAACTGATTAATCGATCGAATTGTTATCCAATAAGTTTATTTATTTATATATTACATACTGCTGACCTGTTTACCAGGTCTTAAGCAGGAACGGGCATACAGAAATGTTTACTACAAAAACATAATTGACATCAAACAGCATACTGACAGTGGTTACAACTCAACACGTTTGTAATAATTTACAAAAAACTAAAGAAAAATATTTCAACAATGGCATAGCTTTGCTGACTGAAACGTACCAAAAAATGGAAGCATTGCGTAACTCTGGGCTTGCATGACTGTACAAAAAGAACTGTTAGTGGTTATTGAGAGCATGTAGAAATAAATCAGCTGTTGGACACTGTACAGCATCGGGTGATAGGCAATGCCACTCACGGGTAGTTCTTGGAAAAAATGAATACCTGAATGTGCCTGTGCGGTGTACGTAATATAAAACTTTCTTTGAATGATGTGAGCGCACAGCATATTCACTTATTTATCTAATGTGCGCTGTTTTGTTGATACCACTTTGTTGTGGAAAATGAGGTAAAAAGGCTTCAGCCTCTCCATTCTTCTTCTCTCCTGTAGTTTTTCGAGATCCGCTTTAATTAGTAGAAGTGAAGGGGAAGTACGCCAACTATAACAATTAAAAACAAATCGGACAGATTTTCTTTGGACCATTTCTTATTTTTATTATTGGACTTTTAAATGAATGAGATGCCCACTGCTTTAGTAGCATTTGAGGCCAGCATCTCACTGATTATTCGGAATGCACAGGGCCACCACGTGCATAATTATTCAACAGTTGAGGCTGCTTACGAATCTAGAATACTGTTTACAGAAAAACGGGCTAGCCGTAAGCGGACGTGCAAGAATCCTCATGACGAAACTAAAGAAAAAACAAAAACTCGGCAAATCCCACGTACCTGGAAATAGACGTTATACGAAGCATGCGGAGGAAAAGTGGCCGTGCTGCAATGTTTCATTGAGCGACACGTCATGAAATAATGCTAAATATATGTACCAATGCTGCACGCACAGACATATTTTGAAGAGTTGCAGATGTCTGTACAACCAGTTGTTTGCACTTGCGCAACAATGCCAACTGGAACATGTGTATTAGCAACACCAGAAGCTGATATGAAGCGCTGATGCTTGCGAAGATGCTGGCCCTGGACACTGCTACATAAATGAACTTCAGTGCATGACAACTAACGAAAATCCACGTTAACCCCACGTGACGGCTGTATCAAAGGAGTACGTAAGTAATGTTGATAAAATGTGGTAGGCGGCACTGCAAGCACTATTGACGTTTCACAAGGATTAACGTGTATTTGAAAAGTGGTTCCGAGATGGGGCGTAGCTCTGTGGTAAAATGCTTCATATACATGCAAAATGCTTGGGTTCGATTCGAGCTGGGACCCTGACATTCATTATTTGCATTCGTTGGGTCGACGCTACCTATGTCGGGTATTTCTTAACGCTCACGCGTTAAAAATGCCCATGTGTCTTCTCGTTAGTCCTGGGTAGATACCAAGTGTCAATCACTTGTGGCACATACCCGCATACCAGCGTCACATCCCCCCCCCCCCCCCACTTGGTATGTGCCACTGTCTGCCGGGAAGTGTTTGGCGACGTGCGCGACAGGATCGTGACACTAATAATGTCTTGACCACCACGTCATATTCGTCGAACGATCTTACCCTCCCATGCTAATTTTGGTTCACACAAAGTTCAGAGAGTGACCACGAGAGCACCCAAAGGAAAGTGGCTAGATATATAGATAAACAGATAGATACATACGTTCAAAGTCGCTGAAATTTGCTAAGAAATGCTTGGCATTTAAAATGAAACAGACTTCAGTTTGTGTGCACACCCGGGCATTGTACACGATATGGAAATAGTTGTGAAGATCCGATGCAGTGACTTTAAAATTGTAAGGGTTTGAATTCACCTAGACTTCAGAAGTGAATGACAGAAACTGATACGCAAGAAGCTAGTTAATGAGCTAGCGCTGAGAGAGAAAGTACAGGAATTCTGAATTTAGCTTTACTATAGATTCACTGCTTTAACCGAGGAAAGCGACGGTAGCTTTGACGCAGTGAGCGATAATCTGACAAGTATCATTAAGGTGTGCGCAATGTAAATGAGGGAGGGGGGTCATGAGACAGCACGCTCGCAACCTATTCCAGGAGACAAGATTATCATTAAGAGACGTCATACTATGAAAGGATAAATTTCAAGAGACAAAATAGAGCAGGTGAAACTTTGAAGTTAATCAATAAGCGTAATGTAGCCGACGCAGGATTGTATAACATGGAGAGAATTGAGCATGTTGAAAAGAACGGACGAATACTCAAGGCTGCGAAGGCAAAACTGTGCACAGACATATATCAGATGTATGCACTAAGGGACAAGGAAGGCAAGGTAACAACTAATATGGATAGGTAGTTGAGGCAGCGGAGAACGTCTGCAGAGACCTGTAGAGCAGCTGAGACAACAAGAATAAAATCAAATTAAGCCTAATTAGAAGGAAATTTTACTTTTATTGCAATATAATATAGAAAACGTGTACAGAAATATTTGGACACATAGTCTGGGCGGCTTGTGAAGGGTCCAATACAAAAAGGTTGTCAAAAAATAAATAATAGCAGTCTTTAAGGAAAACATAAACAGTCATGAAAGCAGGATAATTGAGCAATTTGGTGCTATACAAAGAAAGGGAAAATAAAAAAAACACAGTCACATAATACTGCGAACACACATAACAATTAAAAGAATGTTTAAAATCTCAATAGAATATCTAATTAGCTAAAGAGTATCGTTTGCAGGGGATGTCAGAGCTTCTAGCGCATTTTATTTGTAGAGGCTAACTGTTTCAAAGCTTTGCACTAGAACATTAGATTATTTCACTGTAAACATTTCAACATAAAGGTAGGTTAGGATTACCAATGCTAGCGTGTCGCGTATTTAGCGATGACAACGTGAAAATTGTGTGGGCAAGAGACATGTTTGTGTTTATTGTTTTATTTACTAAAGTGAAAATCTGGTAGCTGCGTATATGTGTAGATGGCAGTATACGCAGTCTCTGAAATAGAATACTCGAAGGATAACGCAACGGGGACAAAGTAATTAGACGCACAGCTCGTTTTTCTAAGAAGATTAGGGGAATAAGGTATGTCATATACTTTTGACCCCACGTGTCACAACAATGGCTAAGGTGGCAATGAAATAGACTGAAATATATTGTACGCATCAATGTCAAATCAAAGTATTGACGTGCTCAGCTGATACAAAGGAAGACTTCTGCAGAGACCTGTACAGCCGCCGAGACAACAGAAATCTAATCAAATCAAGTCAAATCAAAAGGGAATTTCATTGCAATATAACATAGAAAACTTGTGGACGAATATTTGGACCCATAGCCTCAGTAGCTAGCGAAGGGCCCAGAGGAATCTGGCATACAACAAGTAATGAAAGGGGGAAGTAAAGAAAGCCCAAGAAGGAATGAAAAGAGGCAAGGTCACTGGTGAGAATAAGGTAACATTGGTGCTGTTGAAAGATGGCGGAGAGAGTGTGTTCAAAAACTCACCACCTAATATACGAAGTGTCTTTTGAGGGGAAGGGTACCGGAAAATCGAATGGTTGCCAATGTCATCTTTATCAATAAGAAAGAGGACGTCAAGGACTTGAAAAATTACAGGCCAATCGGCTTACTGCTTGTCGTGTATAAGCTATTTATACATAACGGTTAATAGAATTAAGATGGCTTTAGAGTTTAATTGACCGAAGGACCGAGCAGAACTCCGTACACAAGAGACCGTATTCATATTATCAATCAAGTGATAAAGCAATGCGCGGAATACAACCAACCCGTATACATAGCTCTCATAGATTACGAGAAGGCATTTGATTCTGACGAGAGATCAGCTGCAATGCTCACTCTTTGAAATTAGGACAACAGCGGTGTTTATATAAACATAGTGGAAGAAGTATGCAGTGAATCCGCAGTCACCATAGTCCTCCATAAAGAAGGCAACAGAATCTCAATAAAGAAGATAGTAAGGCAGGATGACACGATCTGTCCAATCCTCTTCATCAAGTGTTAACAGGAAGTTTTGGGTGGCCTACATTCGGAAGAATTAGGATTATAGGAGTGTAGGGAGACATGGCTGCTCGACAAAAAACACATGATGGGGCCTGCTGCGTAGAGCGGATGCTGCATGACGTGCATAGTGCTCCGGGCTGCCACCGCGGCGCCACTAGAAGGGCAGCCTGTAGAGAGACTTAAAGCGAGAGCGCAGCTTTTCAGCACAGATGCTGTACGCTTGTTAGTTTTATAGTGATAGCTGTATAAGGCTAGAAAAAACTCGAATACTTTCTGCAATATTTCTTAGCGGTCTCGATTGGATGTGCTAACAGTTACGTCATTACAAAGCACACACGCTATTGGCTGTGCTATGAGTTAGCTCACGATGTAAAACGCTTGCAAGAACGCGGCGTTGCGGCGTCAATAGGATGATTGTTGGAGCGCGTTCGGCAACGTCGCTTTTGGCGCGAGTTTCACCAGCGACACTTTGGCTTTGGCTGCGACGTCTGTGACAGCCTTAGATTCAAGAACAACCATGGTGATTGACGCATTGCGCAACGCATTTAACCGCTCACTACATTTATCCATGGCCGTTATAATGCGAGACACAATGCGCGGCATGTGAAGTAACAGTATGGTAAACCGGAGCGATAGGGGCGCCTCATTTCATTAGGAAGCACGAACGTGTAACCAGTAATTGTGAAATACTTTGGGGCCACGTCGGGTTGACGCCACTGCTAAACGACGGGGCTGCACTTTTCAGCTTTCGCTGGTTAACAATAAACTGAGTAAGCTAAGAGTAACAATAAACTTGCTATAGTGTTAACTGTATTGGTAATCGTCCTTCTAAATGAGTGTCGGCGATGCGTCAACCTTAGTATAGCAAATGTTAGTTTTATATGATGTGATTTCTTGGGCGAGTTGCGATTCTTTGTGTCATGTTTTCTCTCTTTTGTTGTCGTTGCGGTTTTCACGATCGATGTTTGTTTATGGTACAGGCAATGCCCGTGTTATTTTCATAAAACTGTGGGCACACCTTAGCCACATCCACTTGAAGGACCTGCAGCACTGTATTCGTACCAGCAATCTTCGATGGGAAGCAAGCTGTTTTGTTTTTTAAACTTCTTGTGCGAGTTTCATGACGTCGAACGTAATTTGACATGATGCATCCGAGCCACGCTGAGGTAGTATAGTGGCTAAGGTACACGGCTTTTGACCCGCAGGTCGTGGGATCAAATCGCGGCTGCGGCGGCTTCATTTTGGAGGGAGGTGAAGATGCTCTAGGCCCTTGTGGTCAGATTTGGGTGCATGTTAAGGAACCCTAGAAGGTCGAAATTTCCGGAGCCCTCCACTACGGTGTCTCTCATATTAATATAGTTTTTTTATTAAATGAAAAAAAAATATATATATATAGTTGTTTTCGGACGTTAAACACCTCATATCAATAAATCAATCTGGAGGAAAACGCAATGGAGGAAAACGCAACGCGCCTCCTGTCTTCTGTTTAGCGCAGTCGCCATTTATCTCGGGGCGAGCGTACGTGGGGAACACGGTGTTACGGCTAAGTGAGAGTGCAATAGCCAGGCGGAACATGTGCGCCTCGGAGAGCTTTTACAGCGATAGCTCTACATGGCAAGGAGAAACGAAAAACCATTCTGCATCGACGTCACGAGTGTTTTCCACTGGCTAGGTCATCAATTACGTCGTTGTCGGCGTCATACCGAAGCACGCGCGCAATTGGCTGTGATGTGAGTGACGTCGTCTATCCCGTCTCAGCGGAGGCGCGGAGCACGTGCGCATCAGTTTCTACTAAGAGATTCCAAATAATTATCCCACAAACTCCCGAATCATGGACAACTTTGGAAGAGCGCCGAGAGCATAAACGTAAAAGAGCTCGCATCATTGGCCGGACTCATGCGGCCGTCCGGGCACAAAAACAGGTCCGTGAGGCTGAGTGCCCGTAGTAACTGCGTACCGATGGTCCGGCAGCCTTCGAAGCCGCGCTAAATAGGCGAAAGCGAATGCAAGCGCCGGTGGCGGGCGCATCTTGCAAACCTCACCGACGAATTAGCTTGCAAGGTCAAACGCTTGCAACAACGGCGCGCCGAGCAAGTGTCGTCGCAGGCGTTAACGTGAGTGCAGAAGCGCGTTCGCAGGAGAGAACAACCGCTTTCGGTGGTAGTTCGTCCAGCGGAACTTTGGCTGTGGCTGTGACATCTGTGTGCGGCATGGTAAATAAACACGGTAGTAAACCGAAGTCAAATGTATGTCTAAACATTAAAAAGCAAGAATATGTATTCAATGGCGGTGAATGGCTTCAGTGCAGAGTCGGGTGGAGCGCACTACTAAACACACTGAAACTGCACGTTTAAGCTTCCGCTTGTTAACCATTTCACTCGCTCGCTGGATTCCATGCTGACCGGTTGTGCCCTCGCGATCTCCGACGTCAGCGAAGCTCTGGCCGACTCGGCTGGCCCTACGTCATCTCCTAACGCCGATCTCCGATGACAGCGTAGCTCTGAACTACTGGACTTGCCCTACGCAATCTCTTGACGCCGACAAGAGCTCTCGCAAGTGGTGCCCCATCCTCGGACTTTTGTGACCATATTTCCATCTTTCCTATCTCTCCTATTCCCTCATATGTCTTCGCTCGCTGTCCCAGCGCATCTCTCTCTCTATCTCTATACCTTTTATTCTATCCTTTTAATCCCTCCTTACCCACATTCCTCGTGAGCTACTGTTGAGGTGTCGCACCCTGGTGCAAACAGTTACGGGGCTCACTTTTCTCTTCTTTTCCCTCTTATAGCCACTTCTCTGTTAACCATTTGTATGAAGCGCTTGGGCGGTGTTTTTATTTTCTTTAGTATGAATGAAAAACATGAGCGAGCCCGTGGCTTGGGATAACGTTGGCACTTCGTGGTGTGTTAAGACATTGAGAAAATTGCAGTTCCCCTGTTGGATTTGCACCGATCGGGAAGGACGTGTAGCAGTGACGCTAATCGTGACCTTTCTTCTTTCCTCCAAGCTCCGGACGGGCCCGAGCCCTGGTGCTGCATTTGTTATAGGCGCCATGATGCATTATCGACCTTTTTCGATTTGCACTCCCAGATGGCTCCGGACTTTCTTCTTTCCTCCAAGCTCCGGACGGGCCCGAGCCATGGTGCTGCATTTGTTATAGGCGCCATGATGCATTATCGACCTTTTTCGATTTGCACTCCCAGATGGCTCCGGACTTTTTTCTTTCCTCCAAGCTCCGGACGGGCCCAAGCCCTGGTGCTGCATTTGTTATAGGCGCGAAGCTCCTTATGGCTTGACTTGTGCATCGCCTTTGTGGGTAACCACCCCTCGTTAATTCTTGACCCGGCCATAGAGGGCTGTACTTGTTATATACGCTGAAAAAGGTAAATGATATGACACTGGAGGGCTTTACTTGTAGAAAAGAAGGATTGACCTCAGACGTATGGGAGCAGAGAGAGACGATCGCTCGACTACGTTTGTGTGTACTTCGGCGGCGCCGTTCGTCAGGGGGCGCTCTATGGTACAATAAAAGCACCGTTTTGGCGCGCGCGCACGCATTCAGAGGCTCGGCGGTGGAGACTGGACAAGGCTGCTGAGCGGTGTGCGCACAGGGCGGTGGCAGTGGCTCGCAGTCAAAGCGACCCCCACCGTAAACTCCCCCGCTGGCAATCCAGGGACTGGACACGAATACAGACGAACACATATCCCAACATACACACACTGAACAAAATCCAGCCATCCCAATTCGCTGACCGCTGCCCTTGGTGCGGTGACACACCAACACTCCAGCACATCACTTGGACTTGCTAACAAAGACAAGCAGAGGGCAACTCACCCCTCATCACACGAAACGAATTTAAAAGGTCGTGGGAGGTGCGACTCAACCAGCAGGACCTGGGAAGCCAGAGGGCAACCTTGTACCAGGCTCGGGCCAGTGGGGCCCTGGAATAAGGGCTTCACATACGGAAACCTTTGTATGCTGGTTCAATAAATGTTTATTCCTCCTCCTCCTCCGACGTACGGGAGCTCGCGGAATAAGTGCGCCGCGAGGACCCTGCAGTACGACAACGGCAGGCTGAAGCGGCGCGACAGTGGTGCGAGGACCCAGCTTCGCCCCACTCTCTATCATTCAGCCCGTGGATATGGTGCCATTTTCTCGCGGGGACCAACAGGGAGCTCTGCCAACTGCTCCAAGACCACTTGGATGCATGTTCACATACAGGTTCGTTTTACGCGTGCCTGGTGGCCTGCGGAGGGTCTAGGACTGTCCGAACTATTTCTGGCAGCTGGCAGATTACGGGATGGCGCTGGTGTTGAATCATGTGTGTGGTGATATAAAGTGAGATACGGGAAGTTTACGAAATATTCTTGCTTTCATTCTGCTCTTTTTCACTTTGTCGCACGTTTTGCGGTTTGCATATTGTTTGCGGATTCAAGTCTTTCGGTCTGCATCGCGAGCCGTGTTTAGCCACGAACGGCCTGAACAGACGCGCAAGCGTTTAGACAGACGGCCTCTGCTATCTTGTCAAGCACAATAGTAACGTTTCACAGTTGTTGGTGCCACTGGCCACTGCGAAGGGAGCAGTGTCCTTGCTGTTGTTTACGTGCTTTAATAAAGGCGTCGGAAGCTGCAAACGCGCGTTGAAAAAGCTAGGAACAGTGCAAACGCAGACATAATAGTGACACATTCCTTAATATATTGTTTGTAGGACACATAACCTTACTTAGGTCGGGTAACGTTTACCCTGTAGTCGAAATGAAAGATGTAATAATGTCAGATTGGACGATTACAAAGAACTATTTTTGTTTGCTGACTTGCTATCATTCTGATTTTGCAGGCATGTCAGGTTAGAGGGGAGGAGTTGGGCACGGCAAAGACGATGATTTCCATCAATAACAATGCTTCGGTGTCACTTTTCAACAGAACCATCAACAGAACTATGTTCCAAACTTTTGACACCGCTGCACAAATGAAGGACAAGGTGAGTGATCCTCAGGTAGTCTAGAGGAGATCGTATGGCTGCCTACAAAGAAATTACAAACTCTTAATAATTAGAAGTGACGTAATGTCCGTCCGCACGCCAGACCCTTCACAAGCTCGAGCGGTTACCTGGCACTTTCATTAGGCAAATACGATTCCCAATCGGAAGCCTGTAGCCATTGTTACACAGGTTACCACACCTACAGCAGTGAGCCATTTAAAGAACGGGCGTATATACCTGACATCTTTGAGCCTGTTCAGTGGTAGTCTAAGATGGTCTAGTAATTGCAGATAAGTTGGAGACGGTGCTGCTCAGAATTGACCGAGAGGAACAGTTCTGGGCAATCCGGCGGGCCGAAGACGCCGTAGGCCCAAGGGCTTCTGGCTGGCACCTAGGCATGGTATCCGCATCACTGAGGCTACTGAATTTTTAGAATAAAGGTTTATCCTGCTCTTCCTTTTCAGACGAGAAAAGGCGTTCTGATGTGCTCGTTACTCAACGTCACACGACGTCTTTAAGTTTGTGTTTCAGCACACAGATACTGTCAAACGTGTAATCATATTTCATGAGGTATACGTGACTTTTTTCATGTCGCAAAAAAAGATGGTGTGGCGACAAAAGTAGCATGTTGTATGATCATTGTGATTGAAGATTAGTGGCAATAAGAAGCAGATGGGTGGTAATAAGGGGGGACGCGGCGCATGAGCACCGGACAAGAAAGATGGCGGAATGACTGGTCTGTGCCGTGGGTCTTTATTAAGTGGCAGTTTTTAGTGCCGAAATTCTCATGTCATCATCCTTCCAAGTCTTGTAATCATCTGTGAACGGTTACGCATAAAACATAGTGTTTTTCGCGCCAGCGTTGCGGAAAAAGTTGCGCTCATGACCGACGAACTGCAGGCGTGCGTTTTCTATGAAATTCCAGTGTGCTCCCACGTTAACTACCTTATTGAGAAGAACGCAGAGTTCATAATTTTCAACAAAGAAGTCTTGACGTGATGGACGTATAAATTCATGATGAACTCGAGACCACAGAAGAGTGCTACCGAAAGGTGTCTTTTGCCATGGTCCGAGCGCGGTTCTTTTTTCAAAAGGTTAAGAGAGCGACGGCTGCGATTTCTGTAATGTTCGCGGCCATTTTACCAAACGCCTACACTGGTCCTCTGGCAGCTGGCACACAACGAAAGTAGTGGCTCTTCACCTCACGTCGTAGAGATGACTCCAAATCAACAAGCCTTGCCACATCGTGGCACAGCGGTCCTGCCGACACTGCCGATAGCTGTTTTACGGGGCGCTTGAGTGCTCCGTAGAACAGTTGAGTGCCAGAATACACGCGAACACAGAAGTCGTGCAACTCAAAATGTACCTGCTTTCACATTAAAGATACCTGCATTTATGTTTGGGTGGCGCAGTCAAGGGCACAATAAAGGGCATGCGAATAGACCAAAACAATCACAGCATCGCGACCAAGTCATTGATGAAAAGACTTGGTCGAGGCGACTGGCTTCTGTAGGCTTCTCGTCAGCAAGGTCCAGTTTCGAGTTTCAGGATTGACTTGTTGGGGCGTCTAACTTCATCGATACACCGTTTTTCTCAACCATGCGCGTCTAGATGAAATACTTGCAGGATGACTTCGCAATGCCGTATCGCAGAAGTAAAAGGGAACCCAACAAGATGTACTCGTTATTCTACGTGCTGAAGAGAGAAAGGGCTAGGCTGCGAAAATTCTTAGTTTCCTGCACGTCCACGTTGAGATCAGAAAGGGAGGAAAGCCATGCGCGTGGTAATCCTTAGTGTAATCAAAGCAGTCCATACCTGTGAAGAACGTCTTACCTGTTCAAGCAGGAGTAAAATACGTCCCAGTTATGTCCATGGTTGCTGCTGAGTCTGTAGCTGATATAGGAGCTGCAACAATTATCGTCACGTCATCGCGGAATGCGACGTGCAGTTCTCAGCGGATAAATTGAGCGCTTAGTTTGAGGTTGCCGCCATTACAGAAAAAACAATGACATGGTTCGTTTCTGCCGGCTTTCACAGATATGTAGAAAGGACCATCATCGACCTTTCATCATCCTCTGAGTGTTATAAAACCAGCGGCACCAACCCGTACAAACGTCCGTACAAACATGAAAACACAGGATTAGGAGGAGCTGCGCCTCACCTGGCGAAACACCTGCACATCTCCAGAGATATCCTAACCAAGCATACTGAGTGTAATCATTGCAGTATTCGAACAAAGATGGGTGTGAATTATGGTTAGAACACAAAACTTTTTTGTGTGCATTGTTCTCGACAGTGCCAGCCTAGGTACATGTATTTGAGCAGATCATGTATTCGAGCAGATGGGAAACAGGAAGCTCTTTGTCACGTTCGGCATCTCAAAGCCTCGATATGGGAAGCGCAATCGCCATGCAGCTTTGACTCTGCGAGGCCAGGATAGCGTCATGACATTTACTGTCGAGGCATTGTAAGTACTTAAAGAGGGTAAGTTCACGAGCTTTCCGCTCAGCAATACGGCCTCGAAGCGTCTGTGCGAAAGTAACTATGCAGTTGTGAACAATTCTGATACATGGCAGCCACATGAATTCTGATACATGGTACTGGCTTCTGACATTTACTAGACGGTCCCCAAAGATTGATCACTTCACCAGCGACCTGAAGGCTGTCGTTGAAACCACTTTTAGATGCAGTTATCAGGGAACCGTAAAACTTACTCGAAGTGGAACACTTATGAGCGATGTATTCCTGAACTGCAGCATGATATTCCTTCTTGTCTGCGGTCCTTGTACAACGAGTCATGTCGACGTCATTTAAATGAAGCCAACAGCGTAAGAAAGAAATGAGGCTCCGCTAACAATTGAGGTACTTGGAAAAAAGCAGCGTGAATTTTTGTGCCTGAAACGTTTAACCAGGTGCCGCTAAAGACACAACTTCCAGGTTTACTTTCAAAAAGCAGCAAACGAGGATAGTTGATTGCCACTGGCAACTGGTGAACATGTTCATAGGGCACTCTGAACTCATGAAGTAATGTGACGTGGCAATCAGGGCAGATTAAAAAAAGTAAGTCGATTGAGGACGAGAACCAGTGTCATAAAGGAAGGTACATTATATGCCTCGTCCTAAACCAACATTATATGCGAACAGACCCGTGTCTTTAATTTGGGTGCACGTTAAAAAATCCAGGGTGGCCGAAATTTCTGGAGTCCTCTACTGCAGCATCTCACAATCATATTGTGGTGTTGGGGCGCTAGACCGTAACAATCATAAAATATTCTTTTATTAATTGATATTTAGGCTGATCACTAGAGACCAGATTTTAGGCGAATGCCCATTCAAAGACGATTGTGTTTTTCGAGACGTTTGACGCACAAATTATTGCGCATATCTGAGGCAACAAAACAACGCGTATATATTATGTAAGCGCAACTTTTACTAGAAAAGGCATACATAAGTAATTCTTAGGACCGAAGCGTTTATCACGCTGCACTGACCATGCAACGCTTGCACGAAAAGGAGTGTGTTTTCAACGCTTTGCTAAGACGAGACGGTGGCGGCACCTAACCGTCGCCTTGCGTTCTACACCTTATCACCTCTGAGTGGGGCGAGCATACCCGTTTCGGAGCCACGCACTTCGTTTTCTAAGAAAACTGCCAGATAGCGCTCATGTCTCATGTGTGACGTGACTTGATGCGCTCGTTCGCCTCCGCTGCACGCTCGAGGCACTCTAATGCAGCGCCTCCAGAATACCATTTACTGATTTCTCGCGCAGAGCACCAAATGATTTATTCACTCTCTCCACACGCAAGAGTACCGTCTTTCGACGACATTTGCAGATGAACATGCAGAGACGGGGCCAATTTTTGTTATTTTGTCGTTCACCATTAGCACGGCTTGATGGCTGGCCACTTTTAGCGCAGTCAATTTTGTAGTCCCGGCACGTTTGAGCTTCAAGCCAGAAAGCGATGAAGGCGCTACTGAAGTTTTAGCGGTAAACAGGACTCGCAAAACGGTTATGACATTCCCGTGCTTGAGTGCGTGCGTGGTAACTTTTTTTCTTTAACCATTCCTCTTTTCGGTCCCCTTTATCCTTCCGCAGTGCAGGGTAGAAATCTGAAAATTTTGTTCTGGTTGACCTTCCTGCCGTTCACCAAACTTTTTTCTCTCTCTCTTTATCACATAATTTTGATATACGAGCAACAATTAGAGTTTAAGCGCTTTTAAAGTATTCCTAAAGTGTCTATAGTTAGTGACGTTTGTGCCAAATTGACTATAATTGCATGTAAATGACGATTTTGAAAGTTGGCCTCTGTATGAGCACTGTTTGACCCCTAAAAGACATATTCTGTCTTTTTTACTCGCCAATGCATTTTCACCATTATCAGGATTGGGAACTGAAAGGACATGCCAGCTACTAACGCACTCATATGAACTAGATCCTCATATGAACTAGAATTCTTATCTAAGCAACTCGAAGCAAATACAAGGAGCAGCACATTGTTACGATTCAAGTGTGTATATAGATTAAAAATTTAATTCACACAACCAATAGCCAACCTTTCTTTATTGCGGACGATCTAAGTTGAGCTTTGTGTAAAGTTCAATACTTATATCACTCGCATGCTCTTGACGCCTTCACCGTAGGCTGCGGCAGCTGCACTTCCGATGAAGACTGAAATTCTGTAGGCCCGTGTGCTCAGATTTGTGGGCACGTTAAAGAACCCCAGGTGGTAAAATTTGCGGAGCCCTCCACTAGAGTGCCTCTCATAATCATATGGTGGTTTTGGGACATTGAAACCCACACATCAATCAAATAAGCACTCAACGTCCGAATCACCTGATAGACTAGAGAGAACCAGAAGGTAACTGCAGTGAACTCCCATATGAGTGAACTTCAGAGAACCCATGAAAATCTGGCCCGAGATCGAGCAGATTCGCCGCGTGGTAGCCACTAGTGGAAGTGCGCCTAGTGTAGTTCGCTCCCAGGATAGTATGCTAGCCACGCCATGTGCGCGTAGGTCATGCTCGTCCTTAAACGGTGGTTCGTTTCGTTCTGTTAGCGCAAATTTCATTGCATGTACGTTAGCCTAGCACGATTCGAAGACACATTTAGCCTTGCTCGACTGTATATGCTCTGCAATACGATCAGTTCGTGCACTTCTGCGAGTGCTGTGTATTGTCACCATTCGCCAGGATCTTGTCGGATTAAGGGTCGCTCTTTAATTGAAGCACATAGTTAGATCCACTTGGTGTCGTCCCAAGCACGAGGAGTGTTAAATGTTGTGTGAACGCAGCGTTTTTGCGACTCAGTGGCAAACAAAATTTAGCATTGTTGTTAAACTGCGGCGCTGTTGTGCTTCATTTACTGTACGGTCCTAGTAACACCACAGCGGAATACTTGTCAAGTGAATTCTGACACTTCGGTACATAAGTTGTTCCTTGTTTAGACAATTCGGTACATAAGTTGTTCCTTAAAAAAACATAAAATAGAATGACACGGAGGTAAATAAACTGTAGTCGCCACGCGAAATTTTAACATTGGGCGAAATTCGTACATGCGCACCGGTGTGCTCAAATTCGGGTTTGCTTTTGAAGAATCTAGATCGTGAACTATTATTCTACATGGCGACGTGCTTCACATTTATGTTGTAAAGGTTCACGCAAAACGTCTTTTTTTTACATTATCGGGAGCGCTTTTGCGGCGTTGATTTACAAACTGATGAAAGCAGCGGACATTATTTACTTAAAAAAAATTTTGTCATATGAAATAACCAAATGTTTGTTGCGCCACTGTGTTGCAAATAATCAATCGGAGAACGCTACCTGCTAAACGGTTACCTTTCTATGTTGTTATTGGGGTTAGAACAAGGGTGCTAAAATGTTGTCAGCCGCGTAGCTTTCTTGGATAAACTTATCAACTGTCCTATGTTGAGTTCGTGGAGAATATAATGAGAAAGGCGGATGAGTCTTCGCGGTTTTATCGCCCAAGAATTTCAAATTTTTCTTCTCGCTCTATCTTTTTTCAGTATGAGAAACCAACACGCATGAAGCAAAAAATGAAATAAATAGACCCTGTTCGAAATTTGGCGCCAACTATTGAACAAAACCAAAAACACCTTTTTTCTGCCATGTCTGGTTCACCCAAGGGACGCTCATTGGCGTACCGTCCAAACGCGGCACACGTCCTGCAGGAATGCAAGCGGTGTCCGTATGCGCTGCAAGGAACGCTCATCGACATCGCTGGGACACACAGCCCGCCAGCTCGCACAAGTGAACAAAATATGCTGGAAGAGCAATGTTGCCAGAATGCAATTTTAAAGGTTCTATTGCACCACTGGGGGGCGTATTAGGCGGGACACAAACTCAACACCTTGAAATAAAATTGCAAGCAGCCTGACATAGAGCGAAAACACAGACTGTTGCCAAGGGCAGACATCGCTTTCAAGGCTCATAGCTTAGCCTGATTCCTGCTTTGCCAAACAACGTCCATCTTCGCGTATAGCTACGCGCTGAGGAAGCACCTCAGCTATGATGGTCACTGATGTTTCCTAATTGTTTTTGTCGTCGTCTTTGCCAGGCGAAAGTCATCATGAATAAGCCGGAGAGGAGAGCCAACTTCAGTTGGTTCCTCTTCAATGTGGAGCTGACGGACGTGACAGGCCATTGCTTGACGGAGGGACCCTTCGATCGACTCAAGCAATTCAAGGAGTTTTATCTGAACGAAGCAAGAAACGGGCCGCCGACATAGCGTGATGCACTATTCCGCCATCAACAGTGCTAGGAAGCCTACCTACTGTCTTTCGTCTCTTTTTTGTATTTTGTTATTTATATAACCCTGCCAACTAGTGATCTGATAGTATTCGGAACAAGCGAACCCGTAAAATATATTTTAACTTTTATAGCATGCCAAAAACAACAGGTCACAGAGTGGAAACGTGAACATAGCGCATGTTCTTTCAAATCGCGTCTCTCATCTGCGTTTTTTTTTGATGCCTTAAAAAGTAAATTGGGCACTGTCCACTACAAGGGGTACTACCGACATGGCCAGGCCTACGCTTTTTCAATCAGGGAAGCTGGCTCTGTAGAGTATGGTTCACGGTTAAACGGAACGCTCAAATCAACACCATATATTTTAACACCAAGTGAATAACAAAACAATCTTCATGCATGTTAGTAGCGTGTCAAGAGCAGTGAAAACTGTGAACTGCCAGTAGTCTTATGCGCGAAGCAGCAGCGGTGCGCACGACGTTGACCAGGTAGAAACGGGCGTCGACGCGAGTACTTGATGAATGGTCTGAAGCGAAACTTGGTGTAGCGTTTATTCGAGTAAACGCCTGTTAAAATAGCAACGTCGCATGAGGTGATTTGAATTTCGTGTAAGCTTCGTCGCAGATAGACTGTTCGCTTGATGTGCGCTAGAACGTTGCGAGTGGTGGAGAGGGTGAAGCGAGGGAGACGACGCGTGGCAAATGGTGACAGGCAAGAGAGAGAGAGTGACATCAACGCGCGCGCACTGCGAGGGAAGGCCTCACCTACTTGGCACCTACCCGACACCTGCGGCCAGGAGAGCGGGTTGCGGATGGTGGGACAGCGTTACCCAGGCTAGTCAGAGCTGCTTCGCACCTTATAAAAACATGCTGTGCATGAAGGCGTTCTCTTCAACAGTGACCGTGTATCTACATTCAGTGAGTCAGCGTTCGTGTTTGAGTACGTGGCAACGAAGTGGCGCTCAGTGGGTTGGTTGGTTCGTCAACACCTTGGCGCAACCCACGTAGGGAGATAGGCCATGAATGGGATGGTGCCTTGCTTTTTTAAATTGTCTTCTTGAAAAGAAGGGTTGGAATAGTTAGGTAATATAGGTAATAATTTAAAGCTGTGAGATGTCTAAGCAAACAAAGAACCTCGAAAAGGTTTTCTTTTGGAAGGAATCCAAGTGTCGCTGAGCATCATCTTTTTTGACGAATTCAATAAAAGAATGTAATGCATTACCTTGTGTTGGTGTTCCCCCTACGATAACGCCAGTCGGGTGCGTTAGGAAACTGAACTGATAAATAAAAATTGTTAGGGCGTTTATTAGCCGGCACACAGCGAGCATACACAATGGCGACAGTAACGTCCAAGCACGGACTCTCCACGAGAGCAGCGTCCTTTTTGGGTAGACCCTCTATAGAAAGCACTTGAGAGTTCGACCCATTTGAGTGTTCAGAGGCTTCTCTACAATTACCCTGGGGTCGAAGAGGGAGCCGCCTGGCGACCTAACAGCTTGTCACTACTAGCGGGTCATAGTAAGCTTTCAGGCGCTCCACGTAAATTATGTCGCGCCCGTGACGGCGCATGTCCGCAGATTCTTCGATTGGTTCGATCATATAGTTGACCGAAGATGTGCGCTCGATGACATGGTAGGGACCTCCGTATTTCGGGAGTTGTTTGGAAGAAAGGCCAGCTACAGAGGTCAGGATTGAGAGCCATACAAGGGAACCAGGAAGGAACGTAGGCTCCGAAGTGGTGGAGCCGTCACGAATACTCTTCTGGCGCTCTTGCTCATGCGTCGTAAATATCTTGGCAAGCTCACGACACTCTTCAGCGAGCCTGGCTGTCTCAGAAATAGGTGCACACTCAGATGCCCCCGGCGTGTACAGGGGTATTGTGTCGATGGTGCGTGACGGGTGCCTTCTGCACAGCAAGAAGAAAGGTGAAAAACTGGTCGTGCTCTGAGGGGCAGTGTTGTAGCTGTAAGTGACGAAGGGCAGTATGGTATCCCAATTCGCGTGGTTGGCGGCGACGTACATCGAAAGCATGTCGCCGAGGGTGCGGTTAAGGCGTTTGGTGATACCACTCGTCTGCGGGTGGTAAGCAGTAGTTTTGCGGTGGACAGAATGGCACTCAGTGAGAATGGCTTCGACGAATTCTGACGACTTCTGACGGCTCTGTGAAGGCTTTCAATTGAGGACGCATGTTTGGGGGATTCGGCCATGGCGCGAAGTTTGGCTAGGTCAGGAAGAGCGCCATCCTTGGACACGACGTACCCTAGGACGGGGAGTTGCCTTGCTGCACTGCAGCACTTTTTCAGATTTAGTTGCAAGCCGGCATTGCTAACACGTGCGAAAATTTCTTTCAGGCGTTGGAGATGCGTGGAGGAATCTGGAGCGGACAACAACGTCATCGAGGTAGCACACGCACGTATGCCATTTCAAGTTGCGCAGAACGGTGTCCATCATGCGCTCAAAGGTTGCAGGTGCATAACACAGACCAAACGGCATGACGTTGAATTCGTACAAGCCGTCAAGAACACGCGGCCTCGATCTCTGAGAAGCATCTGAGGTGGACCGTGGCGCAGTATGAATCGATGCAGTAGGAAGGACGCAACATCACGCGCAGTAGCCGCAGGAAGAGCAGTGATTTCAGCGTATCGCGTTAAATGATCTACGGCGACGATAGCCCAGTGGTTACCAGCCGACATCAGAGGAAGTGGTTCATACAAATCGATACCTATGCGCCCAAACGGACGGTCAGGGCAAGGTAATGGTGGCAAACCGGCTCGTGACATGTGTGCTCACGGTTTGTGGCGTTGGCAAGCGAGGCAGGAGCGAAATAACTGCTGCACGTATAGGTACATCCCGCGCCAGAAGTAGTGTTGTCGAATGTGATAGTAGGTTTTGAATAACCCAGAGTGCACGCACTGCAGATCAGTATGGAAGGATTCACATATCTCCGACCGTAGACTGCGGGGTATGACGAGTAACCACTGCCCGGCCGTCGGAGTCGTAAATGCGTCGGTGTAGGAGGCCGTCAAGGAGGGCGAAATGGTGAGCTCGACGACGCAAGGCACGCATGAATGGCGTTGCGGACGGACCAGAGAGCAAGTCGATCAGCGGGGCGATTCAATTATCCTTTCACTGTTCGTTAGCGATGACGTCAACATCAATGGCAGAAACAGCACCCGAGGATACTGAGCAGAGCACATCATATTCAGGCAGAGGGGAGCGCGAGATGGCGTCGGCGTCAGCATGCTGGCGTCCGTTGTGGTACAGCACGCAGATATTGTAGTCTTGTAAGTGAAGACCCCAACGGGCGAGACGACCTGGGGGATCTGTCAATGATGACAGCCAGCATAGTGCATGATGGTTGGTCACGACATCGAATGGACGACCATACAAATACGGTCGAAACTTTGTAAGGGCCCAGACGATTGCCAGGCACTCTTTCTTCGTGACGGTGTAGTTTGTCTCGGCTCTCGTCAGCGTACGGCTTGCATATGCCACGACGTATTCAGGGAATCCGGACTTGCGCTGTGCCAGGACGGCGCCGAGGCCTACACCACTGGTGTCCGTGTGTACATACGTTGGCGCCGTAGGGTCGTAGTGGCATAGAATGGGAGGAGACGTCAACAAATGGCGGAGCTTCGCGAAGGCATCGTCGCACTCGGACAACCACGAATTGAGGGGCCCGTTACTTCCAAGGAGCTTCGTCAGCGGTGATACGATCGTGGCAAAGTTTCGTATGAAGCGTCGGAAGTTTGAGCACAGGCCCACGAAACTACGCAGTTCTTTGACGAACGCAGGTTTGGGGAATTCGGCCATGGCCCGAAGCTTGGCTGGGTCAGGAAGAATGCTATCCTTGGACACAACGTACCGTAGGATGGTGAGTTGCCGTGCTGCAAAGCGGCACTTCTTCAGATTTAGTTGCAAGCCGGCATCGCTCACACGTGCGAAAACTTCTTTCAGGCATTGGAGATGCGTGGAGATATCTGGAGCGAAGACAACAACGTCTTTGATGTAACACAAGCACGTGTGCCATTTCAAGTTGCGCAGAAAGGTGTCCATCATGCGCTCATAGGTCGCAGGTGCATTACACAGACCAAACGGCATGACGTTGAATTGGTACAAGCCGTCGGGTGTGATAAAAATAGTCTTCGGTCGAGCGTCATCAGCCATGGGTACTTGCCAGTACCCCGAGCGCAGATCAAGAGAAGAAAAATAATTTGCTCTGTGAAGGCTGTCGATTGCGTCCTCGATGCGCAGCGGGGGTAAACATCCTTGCGAGTGATCTTACTGAGCCGGCTGTAGTCCACACAGAACCACACAGAACTATCTTTCTTTGCAACAAGAACAACAGGATACGCCCATGGAATGTCCGAGGGCCGAATAACATCGCGTCGGAGCATATCGTCAAGATGATCGTTAATTTCCCGACGTTCAGCAGGTGACACGCGGTATGGAAGTTGCCGTAATGGTGGATGGGCACCAGTGTCGATACGATGTGTAACAGTGAACGCGCGACCGAGAGAACTTCGCCCGACATCGAAAGAAGAACGGTATTCTTGCAACAGTTCCAGAAGCTGGGAACGCTGTACTGACGTAAGTTTGTCATCAATGTAGGGGCCAAATACATCAAGAGATGATGGATCAGAAGTGGAAACAGCGCTGATGGTAGGCGAATCGGGACAACGCGAGTCATCGGGTACGTCCAGGACTTGTGCGTCGTCGACTGGTTCCACTCTGTCGAGACATTCCTCTCGAACCAAGGTAACAGTGTACGGGGAGGGGTTGGTTACAAAAATAGTGGCGTTGCTCTGGGTGATTTGCACAGTCGCCAAAGGTACTAGCAACCCTTTTCTTCTGGAAGCACGGTCGGATGGCGAAACGAGTGAAATTGTGTCGTAGAGACTGGGGCAGTAGACCGATACACCCATCGTCGAGCTTGGAGGCACTATGGTATCGTCTTTCACGAGAATCTTGCTCAGTGTCGAGGGACTGTCTTCTGGCGTCAAATGCGAGAAGGGTGAGAGTT